CTATATGCATCCGAAGAAGTGGGCTGTAGTCCACGAAAGCTTATGCTCTAATAAATTTGTTAGTCTCTAAGGTGCCACAAGTCCTCCTGTTCTTCTTTTTGCGGATACAGACTAACACGGCTGCTACTCTGAAACCTAATCAAAAAGGAGGACACTGAGGGGGGAGGAGCCCCACTCTAGCCCTGCCCCTGCCCTGCCCCACCCCCATCCACTCCCTCCCCCTTCCCACCCCCTGACTGCCCCCCTCAGAACCCCCAAACCCCCCTACTCCTTGTCCCCTGACTGTCCCCTCCTGGGACCCCTGCCACTAACTGCCCCCTAGAACCCTACCTGTCCCCTGACTGCCCCGATCCTTATCCACACCCCCACCCCATATTCACACCCCCGCCCCCAGACAGACCCCCGGGACTCCCATGCCTATCCAACTGCTCCCCACCCCCTGACAGGACCCCCAGAACTCCCAACCCATCCAACCCCCTCTGCTCCCTGCCTCCCTCGACCCCTTTCCACACCCCTGCCACATATCCACACCCCCTCCCCCAGACAGACCCCCGGGACTCCCACGTCCTATCCAACTGCTCCCCGCCCCCTGACAGGATCCCCAGAACTCCTAACCCATCCAAGCCCCTCTGCTCCCTACCTGCCTTGACCCCTCTCCATCCCTGCCCACCTGACAGCCCCCTCAGAACCCCCGACCCATCTAACCCCTCCTTCTCCCTGTCTCTGACTGTCCCAACCCCTCTCCATACCCCTGCCCCCCTGACAGTCCCCCCCGAACTCCCGACCCATCCAACCCCCCCTCCCTGTCCCCTGACCAGGGCCAGCTTTAGCAAGAGCCCAGGAATCGGGCTGCACTCCGGCCAGGGTCGCGGGTCTTGGGAGCCGGGCCGGAGGTGCTCGGCCGAGGTCGGCCGGCGCGCTCGGCCAGAACCGGGGCCGCCGCCCTGGGGCCGGATCCAGGCCAGAGCCGCCGGGGCCAGGGGTGCTCGGCCGGCGCTGCTCTGCCAGAACCGGTGCCCTGGGGCCCGAGCCGAGCCGGGCCAGAGCCACTGCGGCCAGGGCCGGAGCCACTGGGGCCAGGGCCGAGGGTGTTCGGCTGGCGCCGCTCGGCCGGAACTGGGGCCGGTGCCCCAGGGCCAGAGCCGGAGCCGCTGGGGCCGACCGGGGCCGGAGCCGTTTAGCTGGGGCCAGAGGGAGTCTCTCGGCCAGGGCCAGACTGGGCTGCGCCACCCCATGCCTCCCTGGAGCCTCCTTCTCGCATCCCCCCCCCAGCTTACCTGCTGCTGCCCGCCTGCCCCTGCTTGTTTTCAGACTTCCCGCGAACATCTGATTCGCGGGAAGCAGGGGAGGGGGAGGAGCAGGGGGGGCAGAGTGTTCAGGGGAGGGGAGGAGGGGGAAGACAGCTGCAGGGCCGGGGGCGTGCTAAGGCTGCAGGGGATGGGGGAGAGCCAGGAAGGGGCTTTGGCTGCCCAGCGGTGCATGGCCGCCGCTTTTCAATCTATAAATAGCCGACCGGGGGGAAATCCCGGACATTTTTAGATTTTTAGAAATCCCCCCCGGACGGCTCTTTATAGACCGAAAAGCCGGACATGTCCGGGGAAATCTGGACGTATGGTAGCTCTAGGTTCTCCCCACGGCTGCACTGACCGTGAACGTTTCGGTTCCCTGAGAGGATCTAGAGCCCACGGACAGCCCCTGTTAGCGTTTGTATGAGCCGAAATAAATCCACGTGCCGCCCCCACCCCCGATCCTCACAGCCTGTCGGGGGCAGGACATTGAACCAGAGGACGGTTCCCATCTGCTTCCTCAGACCCCGGGAGCCAGATTCAGCTCCCAGTTACTCCGGGGAGGGGAGGTCACAGAAGAACGAGGCCGGGTCTGAGCTCACAGGGGGAGTTTTGGTTGAGTTTTGGGGATGGTTCAGGGCTCGGTTCCTCTTTTCCCCACCCCACGCATCCCCTCCCCTGTCCTTGATGTTACCGTCCCCCTCACAGACTGATACTCACCTCCCCACACCCCGCTGTGCCCGGCCAGCCAGCATCCTGGAGAGGAAACAGCTTGTTAGTGACCAGATCCCAGAGAAACTGGATCCTACAACCTGGTCCCAGATCCTCCCACATGGGCACATGCACTGTTCTCAGATCCTCCCCACCCGCCCCAGGCACACGTCCTGGACTCAGCTCCCCCTCATGGGCACATGCCCTGGTCTCAAATCCCCGCCATTGGCACACGCCCTGGTCTCAGATACCCCGCCCTATGAGCACATGCCCTGGCTATCTCCAATACTCACCGAGGAGGAGGACGGTGAGAGCAGACTCCATGACGGGGCAGTGGGGGCCCCTCAGCGCAGTCACCAATGCCCCGGTGTTAAGCTCCACTGAGTCTGAGGCCCGAGTGCGAGCGGAATGAGGAACTGCACCCCAGGCTGCAGCCCCAGGAAGTCTGTGATGAGCTCGGCCCCTTTCTTCCCATCAGATGATTTCTCTGCACTCTCCGGGGCAAAGCCAGCTCCCTGCAACACCCAGTAAACCACATCCCCTCCTGCAGCTGCCTGTCACCCCCACCCCCACCCATCACCTATCAGCCCCACATGGGAGCTGCCCAGTCAAGGGATCAGCTGGGAAATGGGGAATCTCAGATGTCAAGAGATGCCCAGGCTGCCCCCACCTTTTCCAATAGACCCGTCCAACCTCCCTGGAGCAGCAGGTCAGAGCAGAGGAGGGATCCCCACCCTCCATGGTGCCCCCCGCGAAGTGACCCTCTCCCATGGAGTGGGGCAGAGATTCCTTCCTGACCCGGCTGGGCCCAGCGCCCGCCCTGGAGCATGAGGGTGGAGGAGTCTGGCCAACCTCCTTCCCAGGTAGTGTGACTGCATCACCATTCTTAGCTCAGTGATGTGGCACAGAGGCAAGAAAGAGGGGTGAGGGTTGTGGTTTCTGGCCCCCGTGAGCAGGGGAGGGAGGCATAAATGTAGATCCTGAGTTGTTAAAGAAGCAGCCAATAAAACCGGCCCTCAACTGGTGTTTGCCCTACTGCCAGTGAAACTCTGCATAAACCTGATGCCCGGCACCTTCCCTGTTATATACCCCGGCTCTGGGAGGGGAATGGGGTCCAGTGATTGGGGTGAGGGTGGCTGGGAGCCAGGACTCCTGGTTTCTCTCCCTGGCTGTGGTTGCAGGATGGGGTCCAGTGCTTAGAGAAAAGGACACAGATTAGCACCAGCCCCCTAGAGGGGAAAGGCCCCGTGTCCCTTCCCCAGCCCATCCCCGGGGCAGTGGGTCTACACAGCTCAGGGTCCTGGGCAGAGCTCACCTCGGATGCTGTGAAAAAGATGGGGGGGGGCAGCCAACCAGCCCCCCAGAAATGGGAGGTGGCAAGAATATGGGGACAGAGGTCAAGAGAATCTGCCCCCCCACCCCCCCAGCAGATGATCCAGCTCTGGCTCCCCAGCTCATTTGCCCCTCATCTCCCACCCCCGACGTTCACGCATTGGGCCCCTCCTCTCCCTGTCCTGCTTCCCCTCCCCCATTCATATCCCCCCAAACCCACCCCTGTCCCATGTCCCCTGATGTTCCCATGTCCCC